AAAAGAGATTGGGGACCAAATGGCAAATACGAACTATACAAAACAAAAATTTGCAAGGGTGAATAGCTTGTACCTCCAAGCTGGGGCCAGACTTATTACCTTTGGAAGATCCAGATTGATGACATGAGCAACACCAGTAACATCTAATCCGCGAGACGCAACATCTGTGGCAACCTGTAAAAATGTTGTCCAAACCGAGCATTCATATAAAACTTAAAACAAGGTCCAAAGACACATATTCCCATAAACATCGGGTTGCAGATAAGGAAATACATAGGAAGCACTTGGGCATTGCTTAGACACCAATAAGCTTGCTTTCTGGATTGCCCCTTCTCAAATAAAAATTTGACGGAGTGTTCCAGATAAGTTTGACTAAGACCATACAGAATCAAAGCTTCAGCTATATGTGGAGCTTTGATTAAGAAAACATAACAATATCACATTTTCTCAGTACATTACGACACGTCTTTCATTATGACCTTGCTAACTCACCTTTTGCAACCAAGTTATAGACTAATCGAGTGAAGGAAAAAATGACCTTGCCCTAGTTCTCACAATGGAGGTCAGCTGGTTTTATAAACAACAATATGCCCAAACTCAAGGAACGAAACACGATGCAAAAATTGCAAAAATCAAAATCAATAGATATCATAAAAGACAGGTGATAGACATACAAGTATCCTGGTAGGACCTTGTCTGAAATCACGGAGAGCAGTCTCTCTCTCACTTTGACTACGGCCACCATGAAGTGCAGCTGCTTGAAGACCTTGTTGAACCAATGCTTCAGCAACTTCATCACATCTGCTCTGAAATATCATATTAACAGGCAACATTGTGATCATACAGTGCAGACAAATAGGTTGGAAGTGACAGTGCTGGTTAGAAGAGGAATTATATCCACTTAAGCTAATCTCAGACACAGGGGTCACAAAAAGTATAGAAGAATACATAGGCCCACTAGACGTACAGTAACTCCAAGATCGAGTAAATCAGTTGAACATCATTAATGGCCTGGTTTTAACTTACAAACAACTAAGTATAGTTCCAAGTATACATGCAAGGCAAGATTGCTCAGAAAGTAAATCATAAATAAAACCAACACTCAAGATTGGAGTTTATGAGGCAATTAACATGGCGGTAAAAAAGGGTGGTGAAACAGAGAAAAATAATATTAATTGCAGGAGGCATTTACTGCTGTACCTTTCTTTCCACAAATACAATGGTCAAGGGAAATGAGTGGCCACATCTTTCAGAATGAGCAGATGCCTCGACAAGCATATCTAGCAGTCTGTCAATCTTCATACGACAAAAAACTGTCAGCTTTCATGAATATACAGCCGAAATGTTCCTAATGTTCATATAGTAATATGCTTTGTCCAAATGTGATGCTTACAAATACTATGTTCGTGTAAAGTAAATATCCGAACAAAACATGAGACATATATTCTTAAATTGCATGATTCCATGTGCATTTATAATATCTGTTAAAATCTTAACAAACACTCAAACAGATACACGATATTAACGTTATATTCCAGAGTCCTTCATGAACTTCCTCATCCATATTGAAATGAAATTTTCTATAGTTCCAAGTTTGGTTTGAAAATTCCATATTTGTACACTATGGAGGTTGTTGGAGCTCCCAGAGACTAGAGATAGAACCAAAGTGGTGCTTATAAGTGGGGGGCCGGGGAGAACAACCTTACAAGCCGGTATGAGGTTGAGTTGACCACAACCCCAAGTCCTAAGAAGAGTTATGTTGCGAACTTACTGAAACTATTTTCCGAAACAACACATTTTTGTTTTTGAAGCCCAAAACCCATTATAAGCTTTAAGTAGTAACGTGATGTTGGCAGGGAAAGGAATCATCAGAAACCAAACCATGTACCAGTTAACTATGCTATTACAGAAAACATATTGCGGTCAAGCACAGCCATATATTCCTGATAATTTGGTTTTTATAATCCATAACAATTTACCTAACTGTTTTCCTATCATTCTTCAGGTCTAGATAGGGGTTGTGTATATAAACAAATCCCTCCAACACCAACAAGACATATCATTCCATCAAACAATATAAAGATTACAAATATCTTATACACAGACATATATCAGCCTTAATACCAACTTGCAGCCTCCAGGCTTAGAAGTTTCCAATCATTATTCTTCCCATTTCCAATTATTAAATGTCAATCCACCATTTTAGCCTCTAGCTGAACATTATGTGCACTTAATTTTAACATTTCATAAAGCATTACTTCCTAGATCCCAACAGACCAACTGCTAATATTCCCACTAAATTAGATTATCAAAATGAACATAGTTGAAGTGGAATCATAAAATAGCATTTTGAAAAGTGTGGAGACAGGCTTAAGAAAAGAAAACGACAGATGGTGAAGATTATTCTCGGAACAAAAAACAAAGATCAAGGTGGCAGCTTATGCTATTTCAAGATCAGAACAGAAAGATCAGCATACCTTCTCATTTTCTGCTACTTTCTCCAAAGATTGGGACACATTTGTTGTGGGGCTGCTAACTTTTCCAACTTTTATCCGGACTGGATTTGTTAAGTATTCCTAATTGTTCATATAAGCAAGCCATTTGAAGGAGATATTTTTAGTGAAAAAAAAAAGTAAACATTTCTATTTTTTCTTGTTTTGTTTGATGAGTAAATGACAAAACATAGGAACCTAGAATACTATGCTCAAGATATTAACATGTTGACATCAACATAATACTCCCGGGAAAGATATTATCCCCACAGAGATCTGACCTGTGCCAACTCTTCAATCTCCACTGGCATAGTAGCACTGAACAACAAAGTTTGATGTTTCTTAGGAAGATTTTGCATCACCTGCAACAACATAATGAGATAGCACCGCACTCATTGATCATTATTGCCAACAAAATGAAAATCCAGTGCGAGAAAAACGGGAATGTTCAGCATCTGAAAAATCAAATTTGAAGGAAAGCTCAGTGATAGGAGAATCCCGGATAGAGAGGGTGGCAGTCAATAAGGCGAACCAACTATAAATGGCTATAGTAATTATAAAAAGAATAAGAATAATATTAGTAATAAATAGTAATAACAACAACAATAGCAATAATAGCAGTAGTAATAGTATAATAAATATAATAGCAACTACAACATTGAGTGCAGTGGCAAGAATGGTTATGATTATAAGACAATGACACAGGCCCAAAAACAATTTAAACCATTAACATGAACATTAAACATTTTATAATTACCAAAAAAAAAAGAAAAAAAAAAGAAACTAGAGGAACTTGGATGGATGTAACAAAACAAACTATAAGTTGAATACATGATATCAAGAATTCAGGACCTCTCTTATCTGAGGTTCAAATCCCATGTCAAGCATCCTATCTGCTTCATCCAAAACAACGAATGATATCCTTGATAAGGAAGTATTTCCTTGTTGTAGATGGTCGATAAATCTTCCAGGAGTAGCAACCACTATATCCACCCCTGCTCGCAGCTCAAACCTCTGTTTTGACACTCAAAAATAAACAAGGAGAAATCAGCATAAACAAACCATAGCCACTGGCCTTCTTAATAAAATTAGAACAAAGTTGTGTGGATCTGACCAACAAATTTTAAAAGGATCATCCTGACCTGCTCAGAGATGTTAGTTCCACCGACAACAATTGCAGTTCTGAATGAGTCCACAGATCTACTGAAGGCCTTCGCCTAGAATGAGAACAGCTGATGGCTCAGCACATGATCGAGTGCAAAGTAACACGAAAAAATAGTAAACAAGTCCTACAATCAGCAACTCCTCGAGTTACATCTATGGTTATGCTAGAGAAAGAAAGTTCCTATTCTGATTCAGTTGCATGTTCAACAGTCAACAAGATTGATGCTAAAAAAAAGGTATGCAAGCATTTTTACAAGAAATCAAGCAGCATTCAGCTACTAAAAGATGTCTAACTCTTGGGGGTTGGGGGGGAGGGGAGAGGGGGAAGGAAGGAAAAATGAATGTGGTCTCAGTGGAGAATCTGAGTCATATATGCTCAATATGGGAAGCCATTATCGGGCTTGTATACAATTTACAAGAAACTAAATTGGTATAAATCAAAAAATTAACAGATTCTTTATTCACTCACATATTTCTAACTACCAACCTCATCAATCAATATTTTTTATTATTTTTGTATCACGTCAACTTTAATCATTACATTATTATCTCATATCCATTCACAATCTCATATTTATCTCACTTTTTCTAAAAATTAATTTCACTTTTTTCTGAAAAGTTCACCTTTTCATCTCATCACACCCCACGTGACCGTAGAAAAAATAATTTTCCCCTAATATGAGAGAAATTAAGTAGAAATCTTTTGTTTTCTACTATTCTTGGAACTTTTAGATCTCTAACTAATAATCATACAACCACAGCCTCGTATGCCTTTTGTTTTCCAACATTCTTGAGTCACGATATAAAATGTTAAACTAATGACGGAAGAAAATATAAGAGAACCAAAACAAGAGAAGGATTTTGAATTCTAGAATTTCAAATCAAATGCCACATTTAATATGAAACCACATGAACAAACTCAAGTACAGAAAAAAAAAAATACAAACCTCAAGGAACAGAACTTCAGAATTATATGACTTACTTCTTTCTCTATTTGTTGAGCAAGCTCTCTAGTTGGGGCCAACACTAATGCTAAAGGTCCATCTCCACGTCGAATAGGAGGCTGGGCAAGACAGTGCTGCAAATCAAGAGTTAAAAAAACAAAAAATAAATAATTATAGATTACGTCCTACTACAGATAGGTTCATATCAACAGCACATCAGCGACAAAATAAGTTAAATAAGAAGTAGCACAGGATCAAACATGGTAACCTGTATCATTGGTATAGAAAATGCAGCGGTTTTACCACTGCCAGTTTCTGCACAGCCTAAAAGATCTCTTCCACTAAGAGCAACTGGCAGGGCCTGAGCCTGAATAGAAGTAGGCGTAGTATATCCATGAAATGCAATATCGTTCATGATGCTTGCATGCAAATTCTGCAAAGAGATATGGTAAGCGACAAATATAGCATTTCCCGGGAATAACCAATCACAGACCACAAGTAGATAACAAAATATGGTATTCACAAGATCTACCGATTCTTACCATGTCGGTGAACGATTCAATAGGTGCTGGCGCTGTCTGTGAATCTGGTGGAACTGTAGCATCAACATTAAGCCTCAAACGAACCTCTTGAACCTGAACAAATGTACGCATAAAACCAGGATTATAGATAAACCGACATAATATGACATCGTCACAAATACAAAACCATTACATAGTCTAAATTAGAAATTGATCGTTCCTCAGGTGAATTCCATACTGCTCCAATTTGATCAAGGTAGAAAGGAATGTTAGGAATGTTGGCCATATTTAGAAGCCTAAGCTCATCAATTTCTCCAGATAATATAATATTTATTGACTTAAGAGGCAACAATTGCTACTAATAGATGTTTATGAAAATGTAATGGTAGCGGATGTACAGATAAACTAGTTTCCTAATAAGATCAGACAAAGAGAAGCAAAATTTCTCAGCATTTTCTGCATTAAATGAAAAGAAAAATCATCAAATCCAGGATAAACTAAGTTGTTGATATTTAATCCAAAAAGAATTGCAACGCCTATTCAATTAATTTTCAGAATAACGAATTCTGTCATCCATGAACAACATACTTCAAACCATTGGAGTCTAAATTCCAAAATAAAAACAATCTCTGCAGGAATTGTATCGAGCCGGCAAAAACCATCAGCCAAAAACGGGGTCAAATACAAACAGACGAGCACGCACACACAGGGTGCCGGAGCTGCTTACGCACCTGTTCCGCTTTGAGCCGAGAAACTCGGTCGGACGGCTTCCATTGAGGAAATACGGGGTCAGGAACAGGAGGAACGTGGTTCCCGGAGCTCCGGCCACCGGCATTCCACGAATTAGTTGAGCTGCTGTTGTTATTGTTGCTTCTAGCAGAACTGAACTGAGAATAGGAACTGTTCAGCGGCTTCGAGTCGAAGTGACCGCCGTTACCATTAGCTACTGTGGCGGCGGCGGAGGAGGAATTTCGTAGGTGAGGAGGTACATACGACATCGTCCTGTGATTTCAGTGGGTGAATTGAGTGTGTTTATTGTGTGTTTGGTACTATACAATAAGATGAGATAGTGTCCAAAGAGCTGCGGCTAACACGTATCCAATACCCGACCCGTTTACTGAGTGGGGTATCTGCACGTGATATTCACGTATCTAATGCCCGACCCGGTTACTGGTGGGGTTTCTGCACATGAAATTTGATGGAATTTGTTTGTAATATATAGTACAAATTTTGGTATCTACAATTATATTATAACTAGTGTGTAGCCCGTGCTATGCACGGATAAATAATACTAATAACCCCAACCTTCAGCGAGTAGGTTCTCCGCCTTCGGTTCTGGGAGTTTGGTTAGACCATGATATTATTGGAGTGTTGTATCTCCGTCGAGTCCTAATATAGGCTTATGGCCTCTTTCATTGTACCAAAAAATAATAATAATAATAATAATAATAATAATAATAATAATTATAAATTAAATATTAAGATAAACAATATTAACTATAATTATAAATTAAAGATGTGGGGTTACATGTGATAAAATTTACTTTATATAATCTATTGTAACAATATAAAATTATCTTATATAAAGAACATAAAAAAATTTATGTCTAAAATATTAAAATTGAGAGTAGATTTACATATTATATATAAAATAAATATTGAGATGATACTGAAAATTATTTCATCATCAATTTGAGTATAAAATAAACGGAGGTTTAATAACTCCATGCTTTATGCATATGCTTCATTTATCAATTTTATATAATAATTTTAAAAATCTAATTATCAAAATTTGTATTCAATTGTATAAAATAAACGGAGACTTAACAATTCTATGTTGCATATACTTCATTTATCAATTTTATGTAATGATTTTAAAATCTCGTTGTTATTAAGATTTTTACTCAAACACGTATCAACAAAGTACACATCTTTGAGATTTATGATGAAATACGAATAAATGATTTCTTTATAAAAGAAATCCGTATTTATTTATTTTTGAAAATCAATGCAAACTCACAGAGAGTTTTTGTTCTTAACAAACTCGTACAATTCTAATTGAATCATATTATTCCAATTTGAATTTCATGATGGTTTTAAAATCTGTACACATGGTCATAATCTATATCAAGTAAACAATCCCCATAATTTTAGAAATCAGTATTTATCTGTTTTTGAAAATCAATGCAAATTGCTTGATATTTTTTTTTCTAAGAAACTCCTATAATTCTAATTAAATTATATTATTCAATTCAATTTGAGTACGAATTGAAAATTTCAATTTGAAAATGAATTTAAAAATCTGTACACGTGTTGATAGTCTTTCAAGTAAACATAGTCCCAATTTTTTTTTCCCCGATATTAAGTTTTTTATTCCAACAAATGATGTGGTAAAGATTTATTAAGTGAGTACCTATGATGTATTGATTAATATCCAATGTTGTAGCATACACTTTTTTAATTGCATAATATAATTGTGTTTTTTTTTTTCTTTGCATGGACGGTATAATTAGTGCAAGTTAATTAAATGAAGTTAATTTTTTAATAAAATTCATTTAAGTTTTTTTTTTTTGTTTTTTTTTTTGTTTTTTTACTAAAATGAATGATGCAAACTCGTACCATTTTAAATTCTCCACAATTTGAATTACTCCTTAACTTTTGAATACTGCTAAATTTCATGTATATCATTATTTATGCGAGCAATTTTGTAGGAAAGTTATTAGAAAATTGTTAACATTTGAATTTGAATTAAAGATTTGCATAAAAATTATTAAGAAATTGTGAACAACTGAATTTGAATTAAAGATTTTTTTTATTTCTTTTTCTGTTTTCCCTATAAGCTTGTTAAAGCAACCATATTTTATTTAAACTTATATCCCTTCCTTATTTAGAAATTTTGAAATTTGTTTTGCTTGCTATATTTAGTAAATAGTAATTCTTTTTATATAAGTATAGATTGTATAATACGAAAAATAATAATGCAATAAATGTTGTTGACTTTTCTTTATACTAAATCTGGTAAATAGTATACCTTTTAATATAAGTATAGATTTGTTGTTATTGATTTTGTAAATAATATACTCCCTCTGTTTTTTTATTAATTGTCGTTTGAGAGTACATTCTTTTTTGCTTATTAATTGTCGTTTTGGACAACCATGAATTAATTAATTTGATAAATATCTCGAATCCTTTTTTAATGCTACGTATCTTTATCTAATAAGGAGAGAGAAAATTAAAAAGGTATTTAAATAAGATTTAGAAAATTTAGAAAAATCTAATACTACATGATAAGACAATTTTCCTTCAAATGCGTAATTGTGTTCTTTTAAGCTAAAACGACAAATAATATAAAACAGAGGGTGTATATAATATAGACGTGTTCAGATGAGAATGGTGCTTAATGAAATAAATAAGAATAAATCATAGTCATTAAATCTGATCATTCAACGATAAAAAATAAAACAGTATTTTTTACATTCATTAATGATAATTTGGACATTACACAAATTTCAAACCATCATCAACCCGTGGATCCCCCCACCCCAACACCCTACATTATCTCACACACACAAACATGCACACATGCATGCACAAAACACACACAACAATCCCCGAACACACACAACACACACAGATGCAGAAAACACACACAGCAATCACCGAACACACACCACACACACACACATAAATACACACACTTGCAGTCCTGTCGATCGCGACCGTTGGTCCTGCCGACCACCAGTGTCGTTCCCGCCACCTCAGACTGCCAGTACAGCCACCTTCCTCCGCCGACAATTTTTCCATTTTTCCTCACGGTATGAGCACCCCGAACTATTTTTTATGGTAGCAAGAAAAAGACGATGTTGGTGAGGGAAAGGGCATCCGACGCCTTAGGCGGCGGCAATCGGGGCTCAACGCAAGGGTCGACGGCGGATATTGGGACTCAGCACAAGGGGTCCGAAGCCTTAGGCGGCGCCTTTCGTCGGTTGGCGGAAGACTCTTTTTTTCTTTTTATTGCGAGTCAAGTGGTTGTCCGTCGGTCGGCGCCGGATGGAGGGGATGCTGAATTGTTGTTTCTGTGCAATGGAGAAGTAGACGCCGAAGAAGACAACTGATGCTCGTCTCCCAAAAACATTAGCTCGATCCACGACGGTTGAAGATGGTGATAATCTCGCGGTGGGCAGCGAGGGGCCAGAGGTCAATCGCCGATTGACCAACGAGGAGTACGGTGAGAACCAATACGAGATGACGGTGCACGGGAAATTGAATTTTAAATATAGGGAGCTCTTTTGAAAATTTGATAAGTGGGAAGACTTATTTTCAAATTTCATGAATTTTAATTATGTTACAATTTAGTTAATGGATCAAATATGTAATTTATTAAAAAAATCATAATTGCACATTAATGATAACTAAAATCCACATTAATGTTAAGTAAATTGCATAATACTACGATATGCACATTGAAAATGACCGTAAAGGAATGGCACTATGCTTCACACATGCAATTCGATTCCTATGGTAGAGCTATTTCGTGCCTCCACTTTCCTCCTTCCTTTGCCAACACTCCCCCTTTGACCAAAAAGAGAAAAGACAGTGCATGGTGTCCTAATAATGATAATGCAATTTATAAAGTTGTTCAATGCAATTTGGCTTAATTGCAAATAAAACCACGACCTTTAAGCTTTTTGCATTTTAAGCTCAACCTTAAGGTAATTGCAAACAAATCGCAACCTTTTTTAATTTTTGCAACCCGAACCCAAAGTTGATCGGCAGCGAGTTCTGTGCCTACGTGTCCGGCAGGCTGTCTCACGTGTCCTCAGGCTTCGCTGACGAGGATTCCACAGTGTCACATACACTCAAATAAAAACGCATGTAATTCATTTCTTCCCCATTTTAAACCCTAATCGCCCAAATTGACGACCTTCTCGCCCTAATTTCGAGTTCCTCTCCCAATTGCCGAGCTTCTCGTTCCCAATTACAAACCTAATTGAGTTGCTCGTCCCCATACCTCTGAAAATGTCATTCTCTTCCCACAGAAGCCAGAGTTCTCAGAGCAATGGCAGTTCGAACCTTCACAGCCAAAAGCAATGCCGTCATGGTGAGGCAGACATCCTGACATCGAAGACGATCAATAATCCATGTAGAAGGCTCTACAGGTGTCCAAATAGAAAGGTAAATACGTGGTATTAATGGAGTATTTCAGTTTTTTTTGTTCCTATTTGTTGCTCAGACTTATCTTGTAGCAGACACTAGATTGCGGTTTGTTTGAATGGATTGATCCGCCATTGCCCGAGTTCCAGAAGTCATGTTATTAAGAATGAAGGCAGACAAATAGGATTTAGAGAAACAGCTTAGATGCAAGCTGGGCATGGAGAAAATGCATACAGGAGATGTGAAAGATGAAAACTTTGACATGGTAGAGGAGCTTCAGAGCAGGGTGAATGAGCTTGGTGTTGTAGCTCAAAAAATACAGAACTCATGTTAACCCTTAAGAGCACAGTACATACTCATGTGCAAAACTTAAAAAAGAAGATGAATGTTCTCATTTTTTGCTTGGTTGTAGCTTCTCTTCATGTTGTTATGGGTTGGTTTGGTGAGGATGGAAAGGGACAGAGAATGAAGATGTTGAAATTAAGCTGTAATCCTATGATGAAATGTTGAAATGAAGGTGTAATGTAATTTGTTTTTGCAGTAGGTTTTGAACAATTTTTGCTTGATTTCATGGATTATGTGTAATGTAAGCAGTATGTTGTAAATAATTTTTTGTTAAACTAATGAATTATGTGTAACATTATATGTTTTGGCAGTAGTTTCACTAATTAGTTTGAATTAGTATGTTTGTTAATTTTTGTTGAATGCTTTTATAACTTTCAGATCCACCTAAATAGAATAACCAAAAATTGCAATAAGTAGATACTCCAAAAGAGGCAATGCCACAGGTTTCAGTCATTCCATAACCCTCATTTTGTTGATCAGAACACAACACAACACAACCAGCAGCAGAAAAAAAATTAACAAATGCACAGCCTCATTTTGTCAAAAGACCAATTGTTGTTTCATAACATGATATGATGTTCATTACATAGGCAACCTGCAAGCTGAATAATGTTTGGCATCATTTCAAACAACAAAATCCCCAAAACATGGTCACAGTACTGTTCTTAAACCATCTTCATAACCAAAACCCCAAAACACACATAAGCACCATTACACAATCTTATCCAAATACATAGACTTGTTCAAACAGGCATATCAATCATCCTTTGTGTGCAAAACTTTCTTGAGTGCCCAAGACTTGTTCACTTGCTTTCAGTCTTGAACTCCTTCTTGAACTCCTACTTTCAACTCTTTTGCTTTTCCTAGTACCTTGGCTTCCTGATCCACTTGCTTTGCTTCTTGACCCACTTGCATTCTTTCTAGGAATGAGATGCACCCTTCTTTCAGAAGGCAACTGCAAGAGTCACATACACAAGAAAATTTAAGAAATGACCAAATACCATCACATAATTATTCACATAAGTTCATGTGTGATTTTACACCATATTTATGTAGTATCTAGAGCTTATTCATTGCATTATTGGTGTATAAATTGCATTATTGTGCTATAATTCTATATCTTGTGGAAAGGTATTGCACGTGTTTGTTTTGTAGATACTTTCACATATTTGTTGAGCTTTTGGCTATTGGAGGCGCATGGTGAGTACCTAAAACCCCCGAGATGATGAAAAATTGATGTAAGGATGAAAAATATGGAAGAAACGAGTGAAACGAGCAAAAATGAGAGTGCAAATTTGTGACACGAGTACCATGCCCGTGTCACCTCAACAGAGAGAATTCGAAGCCCAGGGACCTAACACGGGCTGCGACACAGACCGTGACACGGGCAGAATCGCCGTGTCGCGCGCGCAGGCTGTTTTTTATATCTTACCTATTTTAAAAAGGAAAAGGGTTTTGGACATTATAAAATGCATATTTACCCTATTTTGAGAAGAGGAACGTGAATACACAAGAGAGGAGCCCTAGAACATACAAGAGAAGCAATTGGAAAGCAAAGGAAGATCAACTACAAAGGGATCAAAAAGATTGAAAGATCGACGAGATTCCTAGTTTTTATTTCTTCTTTCCTTTTGAACTTTTATTGATTATGTCGAATTCTAATATGTCTATGTATTTGAATTCGAATATGAGTGGCTAGTTTATTTGATTCTAAGACATGGTAGTAGATTAATATGTTGGGATTTTGGATGATTTATTATAATTGATTGTTTTCTTTTGAACCCTATTCAAATATTTTGTTCTTATTTCATATTTAGCACTTGGCCAATTTTTTTATATGTTTGACAATATTGTTCATAATTTAAGAGATGAGTTCAATATTAGGTCTTTAATATTTGACACAATTTACATGCTTGAATCGAGAGATTAGTAGGTTGTTGTGAGGATATTAGATCTTTTAATCTATTTGGAGTTGAATTGTATATATGTGATTTAATTTACGATTTTATCGATCTTGAGAGGGAAGATAAGCTAAATTTGTGATCATCTTATAGGGAAGATAAAGAAAACATTGGTTGTGATATTTCTGAAGGAACTCAACTATTAATTAAAACCAAAGTCTTAGAACCTATCGTTCTCATAGATCTTCTTACGTGTTTTTCTAGCTAGTTTCTTCTTGTTGCTTTATTTCTCTTTAATTATATTTTCTTAGTTTAGTTAATCCATCTCATATTTGGTCGTCTAAATAAAGTTGACATTATCATAATCAAGTACGTGATATATTAATTATTTGGTCTCTTGGGATACGACCTTGCTTGCCACATACTACGAGCGAAGCCGTACACTTGCGGTTGAGCTTTAAAAATATAGGCCAACAAGTTTTTGGCGCCGTTGTCGGGGACCAATATAATTAGTTGTATCAATATTATGATAGATAGTGTTGGTTTTAATTTAGACATTTTTTTGTATTTTTTGCTAACATATATTTTTCTTTTTGATGGATGAGGATACGGTAGACTATGACTGGCGCCAAGATCCCAAATACTCGGAAGAGGATAAAAAATGGTATGAGCAGTGTTTGATCTATCAGTTAGAAGAGCTTAAAAGGTTGAATTGGAGTCCAAGCGTCGTAGGAGAGAGCTCGAGGAAAGAGGCATTGGATGTGATGAATGTGGTTTGATGTTGTCAAACACACCGGGAAATTGTCTTTTCTCTGGTTTACCTCCTATATCGCAAGAAGAGCTTGATTACATTCCTCCATGCTTTTTATCATTAGATAGTGCGCCAGAAATTTCTATCGTTGCCGAAGAACATGAAGAAGAAGAAGAAGAGGATGTCATCTTTGAAGATAAATCCCCCGAAAATATTCTCACTGAAGGGATGATTCAAGAGACGTTCTTCGATTCTGAATGTTTAACAATTGAATTTGTCATTCCATATGATGAGGAGGTTAAAGTCTTTGTCATTCAATTTGAGAGAGATTGTGATGCTAAACTTGGTGAACATGAAGAGAAGATGATGCTCTCTTTTGGATTGAGTCCCTACTCGGAGAAAGTCAAAATTAAAAGGATGAGAAGATCATCAAAATCATTATTTAGAGTTCCCTAATGAGCATTGTCGTCTGGCTGAAGACGTTAAACTTAGTGCTTGTTGGGAGCCAACCTAATGTTTACTGCTTTATTTTATTTTTATTATATTTTTAGTTAAGTTTTTTTTGTTTGTTTGATATTTTGTTTTTCTTCCTTGCAGAACATTACTTTGAGAGATTTACATGACGAAGAATGTGTTTCGAGATCTATACTAGCAATTGTCACCTCTCCAATGATGTTTTGTAAGTTTTCTCTATTTTACTTTTATTGAAATTTTATTCTTCCCTTATGTGCTTCATATAATTTCATTCAAGTTTGGGGGCAGATGTGATATTTTGGTTTGAGAATTTTAGAGAGAAGATAACACGATATCTTGCATTATCTTGCATATCATTTAGTTGCATGTTAGGTTTTATTGCTTTAGCACGTTTATTGCTTTCTATTTAAGTAGTTGTTATTGGTCGACTTTGATTCACCTTGATGAGTTTCTTGTGCATATTTGATATATAATTTGGGCATAATATGCTAAGTGATGCGATTTGAGGATTGATGGAATTGTGAATTTGAATGATTGGTTGATGATTTAATTCGTGAATATATGACACTTTGTGAGATTTCGAGCCTTAATTTTTTTGTCAAGTGTATCGTTCATTGTTGATTAAATTCTAGAACTTGCATTGGTATCTTTATCGAGACCACATGGTGTGTGCTTTATGTGAAAATGATTTAAGGCATATTTTTGTTTGAGCCTTTTCGACCTTTTTAGCTAACAAAATGATATTTTTATTCCCTAGTTAACCCTTTTGAACTTTTGTCTATTTTCTTTGAATGCCACATATTGAGCTACATCTATATTTTCCTTGTCCTTACTTGAGCATGTAGGGTTACATCATGTGAAGAGGATGAGTGTATTGTTTGTGGTGTGGATAGAGGGAATACGTGAATGGGAGTGTAAGTTGATGGGGAAATTTGAATGAGGTTGATAGAGTCGAAATAAATAATAGAAAAAAAAAAAGAAATGAAAAAGAAAAAAAGAAAAAAAAAATATAAGTATATGTAGTCGTATATTTTAGCCTTAACTGAAATAAAGGCGGTTTGGTTGGATTTTTAGAATTTCTTATATGGCTTGCGAGTATTGATTGAAATGGGGTATGAGATAACTTGTTTTGAGCTTGATCTTGATTAATAGGTGATGAAGTTGTGTAATTCATGTTTTGTAATTCTAGATGCTCAAGTTTTCATCACTTTATCCATATTTTTCCTACCCTAACCAAAGAGCATACATTACAACCAAATGAAAGTCCTTTTTGATTCATGAACTGCATGCACAATAAGTGGTGAAGATAATAGACGATTTGCAAGCTTATGGTGATTCTTCAACATTGAATTAACTTGAGCGATTATTTCCCTATACACTTTTGAGAGTGAAAGTATACACTTATCTGGTGAGGTTTGTGGATTGAAGGTATTGACCATGATTTTGATGAAGCATTCTTTAAGTTTAAAAATTCCAGAACTTAGTTATATTATTTGTCCGATGCCTATTGAGAATGTGTATGATTGACTTTGAGCGTTGTGATTGTCTTTTCGTGTGTGTGTTGGGAGGAGTTTGATGCATTGATCGGGACTATCAATTGTTTAAGTTTGGGGGGTTTGTTCATGTGTGATTTTACACCATATTTATGTAGTATCTAGAGCTTATTCATTGCATTATTGGTGTATAAATTGCATTATTGTGCTATAATTCTATATCTTGTGGAAAGGTATTACACGTGTTTGTTTTGTAGATATTTTCACATATTTGTTGAGCTTTTGGCTATTGGAGGCGCATGGTGAGTACCTAAAACCCCCGAGATGATGAAAGATTGATGTACGGATGAAGAATATGGAAGAAACGAGTGAAACGAGCAAAAATGAGAGTGCAAATTTGTGACACGGGCAGTGACATGGGCACCATGCCCGTGTCAGAGACCGTGTCACCTCAACAGAGAGAATTCGAAGCCGAAGGACCTGACACGGGCTGCGACACAGACTGTGACACGGGCAGAATGGCCGTGTCGGCGTTCGCAGGCTGTTTTTTATATCTTACCTATTTTGAAAAGGAGAAGGGTTTTGGACATTATAAAAGGCATATTCACCCTATTTTGAGAAGAGGAACGTGAATACACAAGAGAGGAGCCTTAGAACACACAAGAGAAGCAATTGGAAAGCAAAGGAAGATCAACTACAAAGGGATCAAGAAGATTGAAAGATCGACGAGATTCCTAGTTTTTATTTTTTCTTTCCTTTTGAACTTTTATTGATTATGTCGATTTTTAATATGTCTATGTATTTGAATTCGAACATGAGTGGCTAGTTTATTTGATTCTAAGACATGGTAGTAGATTAATATGTTGAGATTTTGGATGATTTATTATAATTGATTGTTTTCTTTCGAACCCTATTCAAATATTTTGTTCTTATTTCATATTTAGCACTTGGCCAATGTTTTTATATGTTTGACAATATTGTTCATAATTCGAGAGATGAGTTCAATATTAGGTCTTTAATATTTGACACAATTTACTTGCTTGAATCGAGAGATTAGTAGGTTGTTGTGAGAATATTAGATCTTTTAATCTATTTGGAGTTGAATTGCATATATGTGATTTAATTTACGGTTTTATCGATCTTGAGAGGGACGATAAGCTAAATTTGTGATCATCTTATAGGGAAGATAAAGAAAACATTGGTTGTTATATTTCTGAAGGAACCCAACTATTAATTGAAACCAAAGTCTTTAGAATCTATCATTCTCATACATCTTCTTACGTGTTTTTCTAGCTAGTTTCTTCTTGTTGCTTTATTTCTCTTTAATTATATTTTCTTAGTTTAGTTAATCCATCTCATATTTGGTCGTCTAAATAAAGTTGATATTATCATAATCTAGTACTTGATATATTAATTATTTGGTCTCTTGGGATACGACCTTACTTGCCACATATTACGAGCGAAGCCGTACACTTGCGGTTGAGCTTTAATAATATAGGCGAACAAAGAGAAATACAGCTGCAATAGTCACAACTGCAACTAATTTATCAATAATATGAACAAGACAATAACTAAGTAAAACATACCCTCATATAAGTATTCCCTGTTTCCTCAAACTGTAAAATACCATATCCTTTCCTAGCCTGAATATAAGAAAACCAAGTACATGAGTACAAGTTAATTGAAACAAGACTTGTCACATAAACAAGTTTGTATATGATTTCCCAAAGCTCGTTCCTTTTGTATCAAAGAGGCATCTTCTGTGGGCATTTCTCTCCTAACATGTAGTTTCTTTCTCCTCTGAGTAGTTGCAACAACATTCTGATTCCCAACTTCAACAACTTTCTCTTGGGTTGATTGTGGTCCTGGATTTTTCTTTAGCCTCCCTCTTGGATTCTATCAACAATTGTAATTCAAAATCAGTTATAACATAATAAGTTGAAAATCAATTAGCATAATCAGTTATAATACCTTAGGAGGTTTTTCAACTTGGGGATTAGTACAAGACTTCTTATTATGTCCCTTCTGGAAACACCTTTGACAAGTCATAGTTAAACCAAACCTTCTCAACTTATTTCCACATCTCAACTCTTCCTCTGGAGCTCTTCTTCTCTTTTTCTTAGGTCTACCTGGCATTTTCTTGAAATGAGGTGGTTTGATTGGGTAGTCTTCTTCCCCTGGCCATAACTTCTTTCCATTGAGTGGCTCCAAGGAGTTGTTGTACATCATCAAGTACCTCTCAACTGAGTAGTACTCAGAAACAAAGTCTGCTGGCTCCTTGTGCTGAAATTACATCTACCAGTTGAGCAATTGTCATGTTAGGATTTTTTATAAACTTTTCCAGAAACTCTTCAGCAATCCAGCCAGCTGTTACTTGCCTTGTGTGGACATTTCTGTGGCATTTGTGTTCCTTGTGGAGTTGCTTTACAGCAACAGTACCATCTCTTGTAATTGAACTTGCATATAATCTCCAAAGACACCCATCTTCACATCTTACCTCTAACTGCCTTTTATTTGTTTTCATATTTTGGATATTTCTACCTTGAACAATGGCCACCTTTCTCACAGCTCTCTTGCATTGGTCAATACTCTCAAATCTCATACCAAGCTCAAATTGAAGAGCATTATGATCACACCTAGGATCATAAATTACCCTCAGCTTCCTTTTAATGCAATTTCCCTCATCATCCATCTCCATTTCACTACCTGACTCCTCAGATATGAGAGCATGCTGTAGCACTTCACACCCATCCAAGTCCATTTGAGGCAGACAATCTGGGAATGTATTGTTTGCTCCACCATCTTCTTCAACCATCTTGTTTTTACATTTCCTCAAATTTTGTCTAGCCTCAAGGTATTCATCATCATCAGAAGCATGTTCCTCATCAGTCAGATCATCATTTGATGAGCTAACACCCACTGGGAAATACTCTTCATCATCACTATCCTCATCAGAGCACATAGCCACATCTGCTAGCACTCCACCTCCAACTGCTTTATCTCCATTATTTGCATCATCATCATCATCTATATTTGCATCAGAATCTGGGTGTTCATCTCTAGTTGCATTATCTCCAACATTCACCTGACCATCACCATCTGCCAACCTGTTTGCAGAGTTACTCCCTTCAGATGCATTATGAACAACATTAACACCATCACCATCATCCTTATTAGGGTTACTAGCAGCAACATAAACCTGTATTACAAATCTAAGCTTATGGCCAGTGTCGATCATCTCCATAACACCACTGTCATCCACTATCTCTTTCATACCAGCATATCCCAGCTTCTCTGGATCTTGATACATTATTTTATCAAACTCCTTAACCCCCAGCTTCTCTACTTCTTCTACCAAATCAAAGTATCCAAACCTATCAGTGTCTAAGCCATACACATACTTGAATTCTCCCCAAAGTATTCAGTTGAATCTCCAATCTTAATAAATGTACCACCATAGTTGAAGAAAAGGGAAAATTTTTCACTGCAATCAAACATAGTGATATAATCAATCCCATATCATAGACATAACTCATAAATAAATTTAGTTTAAAATAAAACTTCAAATAACTAAAAATTCCTAAAATGCAAAAAACCCTAATTTTGTGATAACCCTAGTTGCAATACAACCCTAATTCGTATTAACCCTAATAATAATAAAAAAAATCATGAATTCACATGGAAACCAGATTTCACACAAAACCCTAATATAAAATATATGAAGGTTCGAAAGAAACCCTAATTTATCATGAAGTCAAACATAAAAATATTATTCTGCCATTGTTTGTTGTTGGACGACAAGGGCAAACGTGAACACATGGGGCTGACAGTAAAATTAAAAAATTGCAGCACGAAATTTGCGACCGACATATGAGATTAAAGAATACGAAATTTGGATCTACCTGTTTTTTCCCATTGCCGATGCACGAAAATCTGGAACAACTGGCGGCAATTCCTTCTCCATGAATCGCGGCGATTACCAAAACATCTAGAAAAAAATTGAAATGGTCTTTGTATCGTGATGAATCGCGGAAAATTGAAACGGTGTTCTTCCCTAATTTTACAGAGGAAAATGATTCTCAAATACAATTTGGCGATTAGGGTTTAAAATGGAGAAGCAATGAATTATATGCGTTTTTATTTGTGTGTGTGTGACACTGTGGAATCCTCGTCAGCGAAGCCTGAGGACACGTGAGACGGCCTGCCGGACACGTAGGCACGGAACTCGCTGCCGATCAACTTTGGGTTCGGGTTGCAAAAATTAAAAAATATTGCGATTTGTTTGCAATTACCTTAAGGTTGAGCTTAAAATGCAAAAAGCTTAAAGGTCGTGATTTTATTTGTAATTAAGCCATTTGTAAAAGTATTTAGTTTCTAAATAAAATATATTATCTCTTTCATTTCTTTAAATAAGTATAATTTTTTTATAGCACTTGTAAAACTGTGGGTGTTGTACTAGTTTCAATTATAATGCTAAAATAAGAAAATCAAACATTATTTCATGTTCAACAATGAATAAATAAAATGTAACTCAATTCATTACGCCTTTTCTCAAAGGCAAAATTGTATGTTACATTATAACATTTTTTACTTTTACAATTATATCATGAATTTAGATCTGAAAGGCAAAATTTCATGTTACATTATGACCTTTTCTATTTTTGTAATTCTTTCGTGTCTTCTGACTATTGGCAAAATGATACCTGTCTTTTTTATTTTTTGCAAAACGAAGCATGAGGCTGGATTTCGAGGAATATAAGGTGATGTGTCCGGTCACTTTGCCACGTGACATCCATGTGGATTTTTTAAGAAAAAAAATAAAAAATTGCACTTCACAGCAACACTTTTTTTCCAAATTTATAATTTTATCACGACTATTTTTTCTTGGCAAAACATTATGTGATATTTTAATTTATAAAATATATATTTTAATATAAATCTATTTTTCAAAAAAGGTTTTGTACTTGACAAAAAATACATATAAAATTAAGAATCATAAACTTGAAATGAACCAGTACAGTCATTACAAGGAGATTTTTTTTTGCAATCCAACGAATTAAGGAATCAAAA